AGTGCAAAGAGCTCAACTGTGATACAGCACTGCTGTGAGAACAGCACAACTTTGGAATAGCTTAGTAGTGTTACAGCTCAATTATGAAGCAGCACGCCTATGAGGTGGCCCTGGGGTGAGGCCCTTCCCTGGCTACACAGCTCTGCTTTGCTCCAGTCCACTCTGCCCTTCTCCACTCTGCCTGCCTTGCTCTGTTTCTGTCAGCTCTGGTAAGATGTCTCAGTGTTTGTTTCAGCTCCAGCCAGGGAAATTCAGCCTTCAGTCTTCTGTGAAAAGAGAAAGTGTACTCCCTGACTTATATAGTGAGAAATCCCACCCCTGGTCCCTGATGGGTCTGTCCCCATGCAGATGAGGACTCCAAATCTTTGCAGTTTGAGTGGTGCAAAAGGCACTGTCCTGATTGGTGAGAATGGAGCTACTCTGATTGGTCAGTGAAGATGCTGATGGTGCTATAGCTGCATGGGCTTTGGAACAGGATGGATTTGGGATGAAATCTCAATTCTACCTTTCGTCAGTGGTGCAACCCCAACCCTGGGCAATGTACCTAAATACCATGAGCCCCAGTTTTCTCATCTATAAATGGGGACATTTCTACTCAATAGGAGAGCACCTAGCTCATTTCCTGAAAGTCCAGTAGGCCAAGCACTTAGTCCATCAGATGAGTTTAGCACCTGGTCTTGTCAACATCATCATCAATGACCCTTACCAGCATTATTATTTTTTACACTTGTTAGAACTTCTCTATGCAGTTGGACTGTGAAGATCAAGTACCCCTTTCCTGGGAGAAACAGTGTGGGGGAAGTTCAGTTAATCTGAAATAAGTGGACCCTAGTTCAAGGTCCAGCTCTAATGGTAGGTGACTGAGATCTTGGACAACGGGACTGTTGTGAGCATTGATTGACAGGAAAGCTACGAAAGTACTTTGTAAACCCATAGAGCCTGGCTAAACTATTAGGCAGAATGATAAAATGCTATTGTGGCCATGTTCTTGGGAGAATTCAACTAAAGTTTTAGAACCATTGGGTTCACATGAGTTTTCCTTTGTTCTGTGCAGGATCCAGAAAAGCTCTGTCTTTGAGTCTCACTTTACTCCTTTCTCTGGTGTTTGGCCCCTAAGCCATACGCCCCTCTCTCACTGGATGGCATTCATGATGGGCCAATTCTGGCCTGGTCCCTGTACCAGCTGTGGGCTGTTGACCTGTCTGCTGAACCCTGGAGCCCACAGTTGCCAGGGAGACCCAGCTGGAGCTAAATTGCTGGGCTGAGTCACAGCATCTGGTTGGGACAAGTTGGGCACATCTTTTCAATCACAAGTATCTCCCCAGGAACTACTGAGTGCTCGCTGATCTGCTCAGTTCCTAAGTATGCAAGGTGGCGAGGCACGGTGGGCCCCTACTTCCGAGGAGATTCTTTTTCCAGAGGGGAGATTATCATAATGCACTTGATAACAACTCTGAGTTCTTCAGGACTGCCTGTCATTTGGGGCTAACCTGATAATTACTACAAAATCTAAAGTAGAGAGAGTTAAGGGAAGGTTAGCAGAGGTGGAGAAGGTTTATTATTGGTTATCCAGGGGATGTTCGCAAAAACAGTCATTAGTGCTACACAGGAGAAAGAAGAGTGTCAGCCAAGAAGCACAACCTGGCAACGTCCATGGGAAAGAGAGGCTTGCCTCAGGACAGAATGGGATTCCAGAGGCTTCGCAGGGCCAGCACAGCTGCCCAGAGTTGACTTTGTAGCTCAGGGGACAGGATTGTGGCTTGGAAATGCAGGGACCATGAGCTCAGCTCTTGTTTATGCATTTCACATTCTGTGTTACTCATTTCTCTTTTTGTTACCTCAATTTGGGTCTTGAACTCTGTCAGGCACTTGCAGAATATTCATCTTCAAAACACCAGTAAATTTGTCTCTGGGGGGCCCCTTAGGGAATCAGGCCCTGCCTTTAGGTTATCATATGGTCAGGAAACAGCCTTGAAGCTCTCCTGCCCCTTGCTTCATGGACTAGCAGCGCCCCTGGGAGCTGGTTAGACTCTCGGACCCACTAGACTGTGAGTCACCATCTATGTCGAAAGATCCCCAGGTGATTCCTAGCACATAAAAGCTGGAGAAGCACTGGCCTGAATGGTGAGCTCAGGGAAAGACGGGCTTTTTCTGTCTTCTTATTTATATCTTGTATCCCCAGTGTTTATTTAAAGTTTAGCAGATGGTAGCTGCAAATCCATGATTCTTCCTCTGACTTGGGCATATCTAAACTTCTAGGGACTTTGTAAACTTCTCAGGACTTAATTGTAAAGTGGCATCGGGAGAGGGGTGGTGAGTGGAGATGGGGTCCACCTTCAGTGGGCGAAAACCTGAAGTGAATATTAGAGTGATGGGTGGTGGTTGGTGGTTTTCATATAGATGAGTTTCATTGACCAGGTCAGAGCTCTGAATTTGTGTTTTTTAAAGATTTCCCTTCACGCTTGAGAATGTTCATTACAGTGTCATATATCATAATAAAATATCTAAATACCCTTCAAGAGAAAATAAATAAACAAATGGAATACAATTCAGAAGTTTAAATGAATGAAATAGAGCGACATGTATAAATCTAAGAACAGTTTTGTTTTAGAGAGAATAAAGTTGCGGAAGAATGTGTGATGTATGGTGCTATTTATTTCAAGTTAAAAATAATTCATATGTATATAATGGAAACATACATATGTAGTAAAAAGACTTGGACGGGAATGATCAACACCAAATTCAGGGTAGTATTGGGTTGTCGGAAAAGTCATGACGTAATGTTTTCTATGTTTTTCGTTGCAAAAATGTGTCATGACTTTTCTGACAACCCAATAGTTATCTCTGAGAGGGACAAAAAGGAATGGATGGGAGTTTTAACAGTCCCTTCATATTTTATTTCTTAAAAAAGAAAGAATAAAGAAAAACCAGTGTAGCAGCAAACATGAAAAAATAAGATTTTTTCCCCCCAAAGGAATGAATACATAAAATTATTCATGGTACTATTCTCTATAATGTTTCTGAGTGCTTAAAATATTTCATTATAGTGGGCTGACCAAGTGGCTCAGTTGGTTAAGAGCTCGCTCAAGAATGTGAGCTCTGAACAACAGCGGTTCAAGTCCCGGCCCGAGCTGAGCTGCCCCTGAGCTGCCAACAGGTGGCAGGATGACTCAGCTAAAAAAAATAAATAAATAAAAATAATTTCATTATAGAACGGCTAAAACCAAACTCTCCTGGTAAGTGTGATGCAGACAGTTGGCATTTGGGAATTTTTGCCTTAGATGCTCCTAAGGACCTTTTGGTTCTAACTGTGTTTGTACACAGAGAACTCCCTCCCACCCACCCCCTCTTTTCTCATAGGCAAAGGATGTCTCGTAGGATGTGCCCAAGGCCTGTGGCTTTCCTGCACTCCGTCCTGATGAGATGCAGCCATTTCTCATGTTTGTGATGTTGTTGAAACCCAGCCCCTATCTTTGCTTTAAGGACCTCATCTATAAGGGCCTTCTCTCTGTCGTCTGCGTCTCTCCTTTATGGAAGGAGAGGTCTGTCCTACCGTGGCCGTAATCTTAGAGCTCTGACCTTAGGGTCACCTCCTGCCTTCCCTTCCCCAAGCTATGACACCTTCACTGACACTTCTGTCCAATAGGGCTTATCCATGGGAATCTCACAAGTTTTTATCGCCCACCCCAAGTATCACGTCTGTAGTCAGCTCTCCTGTTGCTGCATCTGCTTTTGTGACATGCTTTCTCTACCAGAAGTGTTGTAAAGTTTATCAGAAGGATGACATGTGTTAGTCGGTGACTCCGGGAACGTTAAGAAGGAAGAAGTGCCTCTAACAGCTGGGACCAAATGGACTTCTAAAAAATTAAATTTTTATTATTTTAAATATACTCTACAGCAGTGGTTCTAAATCAAGGATGATTTCCCCCCCCCTTAGGGACATTTGGCAATGTCTGGAGACATTTTCCATTTTCAAAACTAGGGGGGTGCTACTGGCCTTGGGTGGGTAGAAGCCAGGGACACTGCTAAACATCCTGTAATGCACAGAACATCCCCACCCCATAGTAATTATCAGTCCAAATTGTCAGTGGTGCCAAGGTTATGAAGCCCTGCTCTACAAATCCTTATACCATGTACATCTCCCTGTCGGTGATGGAGAGCAGATGGGGTGCAGCTGCTTTGGAGCCGGGCAGTGGAATGAAGGCTGCAGGAATCCCATAGGTGGTGTTAGAGATGGAGGATAAGAAGAGATTAAGGAGACTAAGGAAAATTGGAGAGGAGTCAAGTCCAGGCGGTAGGCAGCATGCAGGGGGAACTGCCTCTGATGCCTTTGAACTTGGCACCTTGCTATAGATAACACCGTCACGCAACAGAAATACTGAACAACTGTTTAAAAATATGCCCAATGCAAAACATGGTAGGTAGTTACAGGGATGGCCCCTAGTGATGCATGCTATGCTCTGTCCACACTCTCCTGCAAAGTGATTGTGCCATTCCTCTCATCAAGCAGTGGCGTCTGTTTTCCCACCCCAATCTGGGCCGGCCTTGACACTTGCCTTGAGCAAAAGAATGTGGGAGAAGTGATGATGTGTGAGTTCCGAGGCCATTCAGCCTTGGTTTCCTCTCTCCTGGAGCAGTTCTACTATCATGTGAGGAATCCCAGCCTGATAAAGCCTCTTGGAGCAAAAGACCCAGGTGTACAACTGTCCCAGCCCAGTCTCCAGCCAACCTTCCAGATCATTAGGGTCCTATCAGTGAACTCAGGAGAAATCAGCTCACCCACCCAGCCCACCCACAGAATAGTGAGAAATAGGAAATTGTGGTTATTTGAAGCCACTCAACTTTGGGGTGGTTTGCTACACAGCCATAGATAACTGGACACTGTATATAAGCGACTTCATTCAAAGCAGTGGACGATATATTTGCTTTGGAGTGTGTGTGTGTAAGGATCAGATCACGGTTAAAGAGAAACTGAGTTCTTCCTCCTTTGTTCCTTGCAGCACTTCTCAGAGCTCCTGGATGAGTTTTCCCAGAATGTCTTGGGGCAGCTCCTGAATGATCCTTTCCTCTCAGAGAAGAGCGTGTCGATGGAGGTGGAGCCATCGCCAACGTCCCCAGCGCCTCTCATCCAGGCCGAGCACAGCTACTCCCTGTGTGAGGAGCCTCGGGCCCAGTCCCCCTTCACCCACGTGACCACCGGTGACAGCTTCAATGACGGTAAACTCAGAGGAGGGGAAACCAGGGGCCTTGGCTCCTTGGGCTTGGAGCTCCTTGAGGGTGTGGCGTGTGTGTTCTGTTGTTGTCAGCACCCCCTTTTCAGCCGCATACCTACCCTGGGTAAGGCCTTGCGCTTGGGCTGCAGGAAATGGCGCGAGGCACAGGCCATATTTCTCCACCTGGGATGGTGTCCTCTGGGAACTCGCCATAACTGAATGGTAGTACGATTGCTTTCTTCGGCCCTGTGGGTTGGGCAGCAAAGCATCCTTTAGTAAATCAGGAAGGCCTACGTGTCAGATCATTCCTGTCAGTCCATTGTTTCAAGAGGTCATGTCATTTTTTATGAAAAAGAGTTTTTAGGACCATTGTTATCCATAGAAGCTTCTTAGGCATCCTAGTAATCCATTGTGACCCCACCCCCCATGTATATGAGATCTTGCTGAGCACCCCGAGCCTGTCTTGTGGGTGATCCTTCCATGTCCATCACCAATGCCATGGTGTTTGCTGAAGGTCGAGTTGTCCTGGTTTTATAGATGTTAAGAGGTTTTGACCATTACTCTGTAGGCCTTTAGTTGGTATATGCTGCATCTCCCAAACTCTCAAAGGTATGTATACCTTTGAGATTTAACTTTCTATGTCTTATTTTCTCCCAAGCATAACCAGCTATTTCAGTACCTTGGGTAAGTTTTAAAAACTGTGTTCTCTAATCCTAATTCAGCGTATGCCTTCTTCTCACAGGAGGATGACATGGTGGCAAATGGTCCTAACTCGGCCTCCTCCCCTCTTTACACCCCTGTACATATGGCAGCATCTTTTGAAGGTGGTTCCCTACTTAACAAGTTCCCTCATGCTTCCTTTGGTTAAAGGCAAATGCCTGTGTCTACTTCAAATAGGGCCTTAGCTTTGTGGGGAACCCCTCCTACACTTGGGGGTTTTCGATCTACTGCCTACCTCTAAAAGGATCAACTTTGAGACAGAGAATGCTGGAGGTTTTTTTACCTCCAACACAGTCTTCCTTTGATAGAAGGGTACGGATCCGCAGCCCAGGCAGGTTGGCCTTGTATCCTCATTGAAGGGAAGGCCCAGACCCGTGAGTGGATTTTTTTCTTGACTAGACCCTGCTGGAGCCTGAACTGTTATATCCACTCAGATTTTTCCTGACAAGGTTAAGTGCATGATAACTTCATCCTTCTTCTCTGTAGTTTGTCCGCTTTCTGTACCTCAGATCAGGAGAATGGGGTGCGGAGAAGTCCCTCGGGAAGGAAGGGAGGAAATAGAATTAAAATAATTTGAGGATGTGGAGTTGCTGTGAAGGTAAAATGAGATGATGTGTTTAAAGAACTTAGGACAATGCCTACCAGATAGCATTTCAATAAATCAATGTTTTTCCTTCTCTCCTCTCCTCCTGGTTTTAATCTTCTATTGCTGCAGAGTTGTTGTTAGTGTTGTTTTGCCTCCTCTTCCTCCTCCTCTTCTCCTGTTCTCTCTTTCTTCCTCCATTAATTCTTATTAAATCACTTCCAGCAATGACCTCAATTCAGACTTAGGAATATGGTCTGTGTTATAACTCAATACTCATCATTAGTATTGTGATACGGAGGCTCGGAATTATAGGAAGTCAGCCTTCTTCTGGGTCTCAGCTTAGATAAATTCATGCAATTCCAAATTGGCTTTATCATTTTAAAGTGGACTCTAGCATTAAATGAAAGTCAGACTAAATGACCCTTAAGATGCCTTCCCATCTTGAGGCTGGTTCTGTGTGGGGACGGCTTCTGTGTAATATTTGTACCTGCCTTTGCTCATGGTTTTTCCCTAAACTTGCCTTTCTGTTTTGCCTGTTATTCCTCCGGTTCTTTTGATACCTCTGTTCCAAGCCCTACTTCCTTTGTGGAAGTCATTTTCAATGCCTCTTGTACTAGTTGTCCTATTGCTGTGTAACAAATCTCCCCAAATTAATGGCTTAAAACAATAATAATCATTTATTCCCTTTCATGATTTCTGTGGCTCAGGATTCAGGAGCAGCTCACTTAGGTGGCTCTGGTTCAGGCTTGCCCATGAGGTTGACATCAGATGTTGGCGGAAGCGACAGTCATCTGAAGACTTTTCTAGGATTAGGAGGTCTACTTCCTGGGAGGCTCACTCACGTAGCTAGAGTGATGTTGCTGAATTGGTTCCTCTCTACGTGGTCCCCTCCACGGGGCTACTTGACAGTCACCACCGCATGGCAGCTAGCTTTCAAAGGGTGAGGGACCCAGGAGACCAGGGCTGGAGCTGAGTTACCTTTTCTGACCTAGCCCTGGAAATTCTTCTGTCAGCTCCACAGGGCAGGCCTGATTCACTGTGGCAGGGGACCACACGAGGATGTGAATGTCAAAAGGACAGAATCACCAGGAGATATCTCAGAAGCTGACTTCGCCTTATAGTGACGTCTGTGAAGTGACTTCTTCCTTGTCTGAACTGCTTTATCATGTCCTATCAATGCCTTGCAGTGTCGCCATTCATCCACCTAGTGGCTCTGGAGTTGTGAAGGGTAAAGGTAGGGAAGACTGAAGCGTGTTCCTAACCTTTGGTGATGGCGTCCGGGAAAGACGCCTGCTCTGCTCCTCTGTGCTGGCTTGCCCCCTAACTATGTGGATACGTCGGGCTGCACGCGTTGGATCAGGCAGTGTTTCTTGGCTTGTAGCAGTTGTCTCATGTACGATCAATGGCAAGTTGAAGTAGGTGTTTTATAAATGCTTTGTGATTCATTAGTAAAATTCATTGCCAAGCTACTTATTGAATACCTATCTTGTGCTTAACCTGCCAGGGAGTGTTCTAAGCATTAGGGGGTAAAGGCGTAACCAGACTTTATATAGATCTCTGCTTTATAGAGTTTACATTCTAAGATGTCAGGTGGGGGATAGAAAATGAGGAAAATTAGAAAGCAAAAGATACAGTCTAGTCGATGATGATCAGTGATACACAGGAAAATAATTCAGAAAAAGGGATAGGGAATTACTGGTGTGTGTGGGGGTCATCTTACTCCGCTCAGGCTGCTATAACAAAATACCACAGACTGGGTGCCTTATAAACAACAGAAATTTGTTTCTCACAGTCCTGGAGGCTGGAAGTCTGAGGTCAGGGTGCCAGCATGGTCGAGTGAGGGCCTTTTTCTGGTTGCAGACATCACATTCTAGATTCAGATGGCAGAAGGGGAACTCTGTGAGGTCTCTTTTATAAGTCATTAATCCCATCATGAGGGTTCTACCCTCATGACCTAAGCAGCTCCCTCACCTTGGGGGTTCATATTTCAACATAAGAGTTTTGTGGGCAGAAGGATACAAACATTCAAACCGTAGCAGGGGGGAGTTGCAATTTTAAATGGAAGAGATAGGGAAGGCCTGTCTTTGAAGGTAACATTTGAACAAAGATCAGACAAGATGCAGGAAAGAGCAAGATGTACGTATGTTCTCAGGTAGAGGCTTCCAGGCAGAGGAAACAGTACAAGCAAAGGTCCTGCGGCGGGAGTGGGAGTGTGATAACAGCATGAGTATAACTATACTTATATTATATTCAGGCAGTTCGCACCTGTGGAGTTACTCAGCCATTCTGCAGCCTTTCCATTCTAGAATGTGCAGATTAGCGATGACCTAAACAGCCTAGTAAACGAACGCCTCCCTTCGATCCCACATGTTTGTTGCACACTGATTGTGTGTCAGACACCCAGCTGTTACTGTAAGGACACAACAGTAACACTTAGATCCTGCCTGTGGGTAGCTCAGAGCCTAGTGAAAATGCCATGTGCCCAAATACTTTATCAGGCAGAATGTGAGCAATGTCTCAAGAGGAAATTAAGCTGTAGAAGTTCAACGGCAAGAGGGCACACCCACTGACCAGCACAGGAAAAGTTGCATCAATGAGGTAGAATTTCTTTCTTTTTTTTTTTTTTAAGATTTTTATTGGGGAATTGGAACAGCACTGGGGAATTGGGGGAAGGGGAACAGACAAGTTGCTGTCCTTTTGTTCCAGTCTAGTTGTGGAAGACGTTACTTCACTGGCCCAAGTTGGCACCATCATTGCGCTCTTCCCAGGCGAGGCCGATCAGTCACCCGCTTCTGGATGGCTGCTCACAGCGGCTGCTGACCGCTCACGCTGGCTGCTGGCCACACACGGTAGCCCATGGCAACCCACTGGAGCAGGGGCTGCAGCCTACGCCATCGCTGGCGACTCACGGCAGCCCAGCTCCAGGTTGAGCTGTTGTTCAGCATCTTAGCTGTGGAGGGCAGTGTCACTGGCCCTCATATGTGGGATGCAAACCGGGGCCCTCTGGCATCCCAAGCCAGCTCTTAACCAACGCGCCACTCAGCCGGCCCGAGGCAGAATTTCTTTGGGCCTTACAATGTTGAGCAGAGAGTTAAAACAGTGGCGATGGTTGGAGGGAAGCAGAAGGTAGAGGGCTAGGACATAGATTCTTCTAAAAGAAAAAGAAAGAGATCCCTGATGAAATGAATGAAAACAAGCAGATAGTCCCAAAGTTCAGGGTCCCTTTCTCTTCCTGATGGCACTGTTTCTTTGTTTTCTTAAATTCGAATCAGTATAAATGCAGCATAAGTGAGCTCATGGGTGCCTCCTGTGCTAATAGCTTAGTGTGAGGAGGAATAATCAGCCTATCTTTGCCAGGAAGCCTTTCTGATCATTAGGCCAAAGCACACGTCAGTCTGTTCCACCAACGGGCTCCGTGTTCTATTGATAGATCCTGTTCTGGGGAAGGCTGTGCTAGAAATTTGCTGAGAACGGGTACAAGCGTGTCAGATATGTTTTGTAGAGAGTTTCTGATCCACAGCTCATCTTTGTAAAGTATCGTGTTTTCCCTGAGTAAAAGCCACCCTCCTATGCCAGCGAAAGCACTTTTATTCGCCGGGTAACCAATACAGAGAGGGACCACGTGGGATGTATGAAATCAGAGTTAGGCGGTGGTCATGCATGGATGAGGATCGTGCCCAGGAAAGCCTCGTCCAGGT